AACGTGGGGGGAAATCCATGAGTGGGGTCGTACCGTTTCCAGCAGGATCTGATCCTTTCCATGGACTCCTCTAAGGCCACAAAGGGGGACTGGGTGTCAGCACTGGGATGAGAATGCAGAAACTCCTGTTGCCTAGATCCGCGGCCTCAGCCCACTAGACAGCCTCACCCCAGGGATAAAAGTCTCCCCAATGCAACAGGCCAGCACCAACTTATGTGCCACTTACATCCGCCTCTTCAGCAACTAGGTTCATAGGTCCTGTGCGGGTGCCCTGCTCGGGGGTGAAGTTCATTCTCCATATCCCGGGCAATCATTTCCTAAGCCACAAGGACTACGCAGATGTCAGCTTTGAACTTTCAACCCGTTTTGGAGCTATGCAAGAGCAGAAAAAGCATCTGAATGAATCTCAACGCTTGGAAACACGGGGGGGAGGGTTGCCCTCGCCCTGCCTGTGGGTTTCATTTTCAGCCGCTCCGGGTTGGCGGATGCTGCGTGGGGTTAAAGTGCCCTGCCTCTGCCTTGCTTTGGCATAGCATCTGAGTAGCCTGGAATTATAGCAGCTGCTCCAGGGTCACCGCGCCAAGCGGGTCTCACTATGACCCTAGATACGCTGAGGCAGCTGCTACCTGAGGTGGAGGTGGGTCCTCGCCTAGTCTCAGCCCTGCTCGGCAGCTCGGCTGCAGCCATCCTGGTACTGAAATGGATGGGGCAGAGACGGACGCAGAAGAAGATGGAAGAGGCGAGGAGAAGGAGAGAGCTGGGTTTGGGGCAAATGGAAAAGGCTGTTCAGCAATTTAAACAGCAGGTAACTTTCCCCAAGCAGGGATTCAAGTCAGTCTTGAGGCGTGGGTCTAAACTGGTGGTTCGTAACCTTTACTGCCGCCTGCACCCCTTTGGGTCTCAAAATATGTTCTCGCACCCCTCAAACCTAGATATATTTTTGTTTGTGTATTACAGTCATTGTTTAAAAATGTAGAATGTTAATAAATACACAGGTTTGATGAAACAAAGTAGTTGCACTTTATGGGCCTGTGCTTAGTTTGTGTTTTAAATTTTTTACTATCTAAAAAAATCTGGCATGTCTCGCACCCCCAGAAAGGGCACCTCGCACCCGCAGGGGGTGGGTGCACCCGAGGTTAAGGAACACTGGTCTAAATTGTCCCTAAATTCCTTCTATAGATCAGT